ATAGTTAGAGCATATAGTGCATTACTTCTGGGACAACCCTCGTATATATATATAGAGAGAGAGCCCGGGAGAGAGAGCAAGGAGGATTGGCTCCAAGAGTGCAACATCGATATTTTTGCCATATATGGGTATGTCGTGATTACAAAATTCGAATTCAAACAGCCGCCATTTTGTTCATGTCAATGGGATGATCTCTAGTGAATTATTATCCCAACGAACGAAGTTCGGTAGGGATATAGTGAAGCCCTCCGTCCGTCTGTCTGTCCGTCCGTCAGTCCGTCAGTCAGTCAGTCAGTCCGTCTGTCCGGTAGATAACTCAAATATTAGTTGACGGATTTTCTTCATATTTGGTGGAAAGATGTATATTGATGAATAGTTTTACGCAAAAAAAAATTTTTTCAAGATGGCTGCCGCTTCAAAAATGACGGGACTTTTTCGCAAAAATCATAAATTTTTCATTCTAAACCAAAGTAATCAATATTATTGTTTGAAATTTTGGTTGTATATTCGCAACATCTATCTATTTCACATATATTCCGTGTTTTTCATCCTGACCCCCAGGGGCCGTGTATGGTGGGTCAGGAAAACAGAAATTTTCGCTAATTTTTAGATCTTTCTGAAGTATAGCTTTATTATACTCAAATAAAAGGCAATTAAGAGTAGATTGCAGATATTGTATCCTTTTTCTGATTCCAGCCTCGTAAAATTCAAAATAGTCGTCTAATGTACGATTTCGCAATAATTTTTCGATCCCTTCAAAGTATGGCTATATTATACTCAAATTGAAGGAATTTTGGAGTAGATCACAATTATGGTATTATTTTTCAGATTTGTACCTCAGAAAATTCAAAATGGCTGCTTTGCAGGAATTCACAATTCTAAAATCTAAATTTTTCAATTTTAACCAAAGTAATGAGTATAATTGATTGGAATTCGGTAATTGATATATTGTTCGTTGGGATTTGCTACTCCGCGGAGTTGCCGTTATCTAGTTTAAAGAGTAAAGATGCAGTCCAACTCTTTTGAAGGGTATGTTGTTCAATGTTCTTTGATTTATGTAAGTTTCATTGGTCTATTCCAAATGATCATGATTTGATATTTTGCCATATATGGGCATGTCGTGATTACAAAATTCGAATTCAAACAGCCGCCATTTTGTTCACGTCAATTGGATGATCTCTAGTGATGATTTAAAGTGTAAAGATGCAGTCCAACTCTTTTGAAGGGTATGACCTGTTGACTGGTTAGGTTGAAGTAATTTTTGATCTTGATTACAAACGAGGTCCCAAATATAGGGTAAGCCAAAAAAGGTATAACCCAAACAACTGTTAATTACTCAGTAATCCAGTACGGGTTTCAAATTATATTTCGCACAATTGAACATTGTTCAATGTTCCTATTTTACAAAACACCCTCAAAATGCCGGTCTCATATGTACAGGCTAATTTGAACGCTCCGGTGAAGTTGTTCTGATTACATACTCAGAGATATCTCTAATCATCTTTCTTATCTCTTGCTCTCAAATGCTTATCCAAGGGAGTAGCCAGGGTTTACCAGGGGGGGGGGTCAATTTTTCCCTTGCCTGGGGATTCGTTTTATAGCGAAATGGGGGGAGGGGTCAAGGCAAAGGGGACAGGGGGTCGCAAGCCATGGGGTCCGCGCATTATACCGAAACCCATTATACCTACGCGCATTGTACCGAAACCCATTATACCGACGCGCATTGTACCGAAAGGGATTATACCAAATGCCATAATCACTGTTCCACAACTAGTAACTTTGACGGAACGTCAATGTAGCAAAATGGATGAACTTCCTGGTTACGAATTTTTTGCTTTCTCGATTTGAACCTACTAATACTAAGTCAAGTTGCAGATTATAATTTGGCCCAAAGATAGAAAATATAGCCTAGTTTTAATAAGTTTCTTCGATTTGGAATTTTTTTCGTAAATGAAGCTGTAATTCATATACTAAGCCCCTCGCTTTTGTTACATTGAAGAAAGCCTGTTATATTACCAATGTATGTTACTTTATCAATGGGGATTTAGCCCCACCAATTTTAGAAAACTTGAAAATCTCTAGAATTTGCACAGAGGTAAATAACAGTGCAAAAGCTAACTTAAAGTTGTTTTGATAGAAAATTACACACAGAATTCAAATAGAAGAAAATGTTAGTCTTTAGTGGTTCAAAATGCAGATCTCCTAAAATCTTATTAAAATGAGACCTTAACGAGATTTCAAAGCTCTATGGAAAAGCCACTATTAGATAGATGCCTTCACTAGGCTATTCTCTGTACTTGTGTCCGTGCCTCATTTTGAGTAGCGAGTGTAAATTATTTTCGGAAACATGATTATGTTTTCCCTGTAATATGAATTGGAGATATCTGACAAAATATGGATAGCCTAAAATATAAATTTTGTGTTTTTGAACATGCGGAAATACTTTCCTTAATAGGTCGTTCAGTTTTCTTGTTTTTGTTCTACACAATACTTGTGTTTAATAGCCACGCATAATTATTAATAAGCGTAATCAGATTATTTCAAGCGACGAAATAGCTTATTTTCCTCGATGTATCTACACAAACCTATTCACTTACCGTTATATTGAGCGATCTAGATGCGTCAGTGAAAATCGGCTTTAGTGCCCCGCGATAACTTTTATTTCATTCATTTGAGTCGCCATTGATACATTGGCAACAAATCAAATGTTCTAAATCATTCTTCTTCATTTTGGAATGTTTCTCCTATCCGATATTCAAAGATGTGTCTTAAATATTATACTTTACATTGATCACGATTCTTGTACTTTCTGTCTTTACGACTCCCGTTCACATTTGCAAGAGTTGTTGATTGCATTGCCTTGATCGTTTGTCGAACTTCGATTCCAACTAAATCAGATTAATCAATTAAGAAATGCAATATCATGTTTATCCAAGCAAATAATTGTAACAACTACATTATTTTTTTGCAGTTTTGACACCTAAGCAGGGTAGCCTAGTGGTGTAGACTGAGGCTACTTTGCGGTTGAACGTCGTGGGATACGGAGGTCCCGCGTTCGAGCCCCAGGTACGGAGTTGTTGATCATTGTCACTACGGACACCCGGTCCGAAGGTCCAACCGTTTACCGGCCCTTGGCATGGGTTGGTTCTCTGGCCGCTCTTGCCGGAGACAGATTGTGAGACTGTGGTTGGTTCCTCCACTAACGTGCTTTAGTAAACTCCGGGAGTCATACAGTATGGTAGCGGGCCCCCACCAAGGGCAGTAGTGGAACGACGCGAATCGGTCCCAGTATGGTTGCCTTGCAACCGAAGAGACTCGAGGAAATCATGCCATTCGCAGTGACCCAGAAAAGACTTTTGCTTCTTAAAATTGACGTTTTAATTCATTTATTTACATACTTTATTCATATTACTTTCAAGGCAGTTATGATTTTTATTGGTCAAATGAATGTACGAGACATATAGATACTATTAAATACGTCTAGATAGTATCAAAACCATAATTCGATTTGTCGGACATATATAAAATAACACTTGAAAACACAACACACATAGCTGCAATATCAAAATCAAATTGAGAATCAGATGACCTGCTATATATAAGCCTAGTATTGATTTGCCCCTAAATATATATTAAAGGGACGCTGAATATTGGACTTACTTAATTGGCACCATTTTAAACTGCCAATTAAAACATGTATTCAATGTTTCAAAATAATGAAACTGAAATATTGAGCAAAATAATTGATATTTCGTTTGTTGAATGAAAACTGAAGATAGAGATTGTAAAGATTTAAAGTAAAACAAATGAATGCGTTTCTTACTATCTCCATGACAACATATCTTGCTCTCTCTCCATGACAACAATTTTTGGCCCCATCAGCACAAGAGCGAAAATACGGTTATTATCAAGTTCAATAAGAAATGCGAAA